AATGAGGCTTTATGAGAAGTATAGTGGGTTGTGGTCAGAAACTTCAGATACAATTTGTTCTAGCATGTGACCAGAAGAAAACTGGAAGTTTTATACCACTGTATCTACCTGGTTTTATGAGTGCTAATCTGTTAAAATGTGTAGCTGATGCAAATTCGTTTCTTTCTGGAAATGTAGAAAGATTCAAAAATATGTTGCTTGCAAACACTGGCAGAGAGATCTATTCTCCTGTTTTCTGGATTGGATGTCTCTTGGATAGTGAAGAATTAGAAATTGCTACCATCTGACAGCTGCTTGATTTAAATAAATGATTGTTTTTCCTATTTAATTTGATTTGGTTTGTGTCCACAGTATCAGAGCAGCCACAATAAGCAGCTGTCTTTACAGTCTTAATGGAAGGGGCAAAATCGGTGAATTAATACTTCCTTCTAACCTCAAGTTGAAATATCAGCAGGCTCATCGTGTAATGGGCAGATTAAAATGACTGTTCAGGTTTGTGACACTTTGAGGGCTTGCATGCTGAGCTTAGCATTAACCTAATGTGGTTGCACAGCCTTTAGCTTAGAGGTGGCTTACAAAAGGATGGAGCAGACTGCATAGCAAATCATTACTCTTACCTGCTCGCCTGCTGTGCTTTCTGGTAGTTTGCTGTCTTCCTCTGGCATGTGCACGTCAGTATCAGTGATAGTCCCATGGTGTCTTCTTTTTTTAGCTACTTCTGTGACACAGTCAGTAACCTGTCTTAAGACCATATCTGACTAGTCACTGTTGGAAACAAAGCTGTGTAGTTGGAGGCCCAGTAGGCATTTCTTCTGCTTGCTGCTTCTCTCTGTGTATCTGTCAGTGTGACTCCCTGTGCTGTAGGGTGCTTTTACCTTGGACTACTGGGTATGATGACTATTGAGTGCCCCTTCTCCTCTCATAGAATCACAGAATACTTTGGGTTGGAAGGGACCTTAAAGATCATCTTGTTTTAGATCCCTCACCACGGGCAGGGACACCTTACACTAGAAGGTGACAGAAAGAAAGTCTGAATGTCTCCACTGTCTTAATGCACATTTGATCTTAGTTTACCTGTATGTATTGTCATACATTTTTCTTTATCCTAAGATACCTTTTATGAAAAAATCATGCCTAAATTACATTGTCATCTAAACATGATTATATTCATTTGGATCTCCTCCTTCTACCGTGTATTTATGTGTATGGACTGGAGATAACACCATTGACTCTAAGGTCTGAGCTCCTGTCTTCCAGAATGTAAACTCTGTAAGATTGGATTCATTTGTTACTAGAATTCTGCCTTGGCTTTATGCAAGCAGGAAGCGCTCATTCTGTAGATAGCTAGAAATCCTTGCATACTTGTCATTATCCAAATTACTGTGGAGGAGAATTTTATTGCATTAAAAACTAGTATCTAATGATGAGTTATCTTCATTTTTTTTGCAGTGGGTTGTTCATTTACTGTAACCATTTTCTCAGATACTGTCTCATTAGGTGGAAGACTATTTTAGGTACTCCTTTTTCTGTCTTCTTCCCTTGTAACATCACACATTCCTCCCCAGTTTAGTTAAATTTCTCCTATATTTCCTTAAGAAGCAGCATTTTTATTTACAAGATAGCATATTTGCCAAGGCAATAGGCTTATCAGTTCATGTAAGCACTTATGTGTCTGTTTTTGCTTTAGTTCATGTGAAATAAGAATATTGTGATCTGGTCCCAAAAGGACAGATTCAGTGGTTATTTTATTTCGTGTGAAGTAAGAATATGATGACCTGGTCCCAAAAGGACAGATTCAGTGGTTATTCAGCACCAAATCCTTTCACAGTTATTTCATGACTTTAAAAAATATTTTATTTCTGTTCCTTTGCAGTCACTCTTGGAAGCACATGATATTGTGGCATCAAAATGTTATGATTCCCCTCCTTCTAGCCCAGAAGTCAATAATTCTTCAGTGAACAACCAGGTTGTTCCAGTAGATGCTATTCGTATCCTTGGAATTCACAAAAGAGCAGGAGAGCCACTGGTAAGTAATTGAGTGTGAGCGTGTCTTTAAAGTACTAGTGAAAACGTTTGCACGTACCTGATTTCTTGCATTATGTTTTATTCTTTTCATTTTGTTGTGTAATTTAATGGATGATAAGCTCAGTATTGAGAGGTTGAAATAGGAAGATACTTTGATGTACTCCATCCCATCTCTCTGAGAAGTTAATGGGATAGTGATTAGGCAGCCACTGGGCTGAATGACTGCTGGCATAACTGACTAGCACAACATTTTGATATGAGATGATAGGATTGCATGCAATCAAGAACAACAGCAATTTTTCAGTCATATGAAAACCTTGTGTGAAAGCCCTTCTGTGTCACCTGATGCTTCTCTGTATCAGGAGCTCTAACACTATAGTGGCTATAACTATCTGTTTTCATTGGAGTGGGTGGAATATCCCACCTGTGTGTATTTGTGCTTGAGATAATGGTAAAATGAAACTGAAATTCAAAGTGGTAAGCTGGGTGTTCTGTATCTCTTTCAGGGAGTCACGTTCAGAGTGGAGAACAATGATCTGGTAATAGCCCGAATTCTTCATGGAGGAATGATAGATCGGCAAGGTCTTCTGCATGTAGGTGACATTATTAAAGAGGTGAATGGCCACGAGGTTGGAAACAATCCAAAAGAATTGCAAGAACTGCTGAAAAACATCAGTGGAAGTGTCACTTTGAAAATTCTCCCCAGCTACAGAGACACTGTCATTCCTCAACAGGTCAGTAGCACGTTTCTGATGATTCTGTCAAAAGAACTTCTGCTTAGTACTTTATTGTGTAAGATTCTCTAGGATTCTGGATTAGATATATTTTGATTATTTTGTGAAAATAATGCTAGGAGGAAGAGTAAAATATAGATACCTGTATTTACCTTTAATTACATTTTAGAAATGGGTTTATTCACCTAATATGCCTGCCTAAAAAACTCAAATTAGTGTCTAAAATTGTTAGGCATTTGTATGCTACATATAAAGCATGTTTCTTTGACCTTAAGTCACCTCTGATGACCTGACCACAATCACACTTCATGCAGTGAAGTGTGTGTGTGTTTGTTTATAACATGGCTAGTGTCAAAATAATCAGTTTAATAGATTTCAGAAAGATATTTAATTCAACAGACGAGCTTGAACTCGCTGACTTCAGTGGGAACTTGGATGGTGGCTGTTCCTTATCCTTTTGTTGTTGCTGTAGGCTGTCAATTTCTCCATGGCAGAAGTGACTTCTTTGGCTAAATCAGTGCCTTTGAAACACCCTGTAAGATGCTCCTTCAGGTAGTGGGTCTTAATGCCTGTGAATATAACAGGCTGTGCTTCCACTGAGTAGAGGCAGAGGGAATGTGCTCTATTGAGGCAGGGGCAGGGCTCCCTTTGCTCCGCAGCCTGGTACAAAGAGAGTCAACGATATTTTCAGTTCAGTCATGCAACCTACTCTTTCTTCCCCTGCATCAAATTTAAGTCTTAAGCAGCTGCATCTCCTGTTACTTTTAAAACATTGAGTTCATGGCAAAAATAATTCTTAATATTCTACAAGCCTTAAATACAGTGCTCACATTCCAAGAATTGTTTTGTATTTTTAAGTAATTAAAAGTCAGAATTCTAATTGAGTTGTATATGCTGAAATGCAAAAATGAGCATTTTGTAATATCATGTCTAAATGGAACAGATTTTTTTATTTTTATCATGAAGCTACTTCAGCCAAGGTTTGCATCATTGGTTATTCTGTCCCAGTTGGTGAATAACCTTTTCCCCCTAGATTGTATTATACATACCAAGTGCAGCTTGGATTGTGTTAAGGTTTTTATGCTGCAGGTAAAGACATTACTTCAGTTTGACACATAGATTAGTCAGAATGTATTTGATAATGCTTAAGCTTTGTTACTTTTTACACATTTCAGGTTTTTGTGAAGTGTCATTTTGATTATAATCCATATAACGACAACCTCATCCCATGCAAAGAAGCAGGTTTGAAATTTTCTAAAGGAGAAATTCTTCAGATTGTAAACCGGGAAGATCCGAATTGGTGGCAGGTTGGTAAAAAGATTAAAATAAGTAAAATAAAAAACTGAAAAGCATCAGTAGTTACCTTAATAATAAACTCTTTAAATTATGATCTAGTTCCATTTAACAGTAGATATATGAAAAAAAATATTTACACTGCAATCCAATCTCAAGCTAATATAAAGATGTGAAGTTAAAATACTAAAGGAAAAGGAATGTTTTAAATTGTATATGTAACACTCTGTTAGTTGCTGTTAGTTGTGTTTATTTGTGTTTGTTCTTGTATCATAAGCCTGGACATTCCCAAATCGATTTAAGGTGGACTATTTCTAGAAAAGTGTCTTAGTTTGACTATAATTGTGGTAAGCCTTCTCTGATAGCAGCTGTGGAAGAAGTGGACCCGTTCCTGAGTGCCCAGAGTTGCAGAGAGAGACATAAATCTTGTGTACTTGAAGGGGGTGAGAATAGCTGTTTGGACAGACTGTGTTTTATTTCTACAGTGGTGGTCAGTGTCTGTGAGCTGTGTATCATGCATGCTCATAGTCACAGTGTTTGGCACTATTTCAAATATTAACAGTTCATCCTGGTTTAAGGTGGTATTTCTACATTCAGTCCTTCAGTAGAAATGTAATCCAGTGCTTATGCTATGTTTATTTTTTCCAAGACCCCATGCAACAAATTAAACATTATCAGTGCCTCTGAAAATGGGACAAGTGAACCTTTAAGACCCTTTTCTCAATGGAGATCCTCAAAACTGGCAAAGAGTATAGCATTATTAGTTTCCCTTTTGACCCCTACATTGCTCACCCTGCAAGGTAACAAGCAGAAGAGAGCCAGGCACTACCTGAGAGCACGACAGATTACTTCTTTAAAAGCAACAAAAATATTACAGTATACCTAAGAAGCTGCTGAATTTTGTTGCTTCTCAGTGACAGTAATAACAGAAAGAAATACAATAAAAAGTGTGAGGAAAGGCTGAAAATTTATTGCTGCCAACTTAATTAGTTTCAGAAGTAGACACTCCAAAACTCTGGAGGATTTTGATGTTTAGCTCCCATGCTGATTTTGGTGTTGCCTTTCAAATTCTCCAGTTGTAACTTGTGGGAGTCCAGGAGAAATAAATCTTCAACACTCAATCTGGCAAAATTGAAATGTGTTCAATCAGTATAGTGTATTGCTATGCAGATCATAGAAGTTTAGTTTTTCCTCATGCTTTCTAGAAATGCTAGACTGTTAATGAAAACTTCATACTGTAAAAAAATCAGTTAATCATAGATAAAAGCATACAAGTTGAAAAGCAAGTATCTCCTGTTAGCAAAAGAAGGATTTATTGCAAGAAAAAGATTTAAGTAGAATTAAACACTTCATAACTGTGTGTGTGTTAAGCTTGTTGAGAATTGAGCTTGCCATGAAATTATTTTATAGGGAATTTTAGCCAATTCATTACTGGGAATACTTTAGTTACTAAGATTCTAAATCTGTAGTTGCTTAGTGCAAAAAGGTTGAATGCATGATTAGGGATGTCTTACTGGCACTCCCTGAGAAATGACAGTTAATAAACTGCACTGAAACCTGTTTGGAGCAGCTCAAGAATACAAAATAAGTATACTGTATACTAGAAAATTGTGAGTTTTGTCACCTGAGACTCCAGTGTCTGGAGCCAGAGAATTCCACTTGGGAATTTTATGCCAAAGTTTTATGGCTAGAGGAGCTTACTAATGTAATGGGAACCAGTAATGACACTTGTATATATTTTACATAAGTTTTGTGAATTTTAATACTCAGTAGCAAGACACTATTCCTGTAAAGGAGAATTTTAATATTTACATCTGACTCTGAATTTTTAAGTCTCAGTAGTAAATGTATCAACACTCACCTCAACTGGCAGTGAGGAAGTCAGTCGACACCATGTTGATGAGAAAAATGCTTCTTGCAAGTTAAATATAATAATTTATTTGGGTTTTTTTTTTTCCCCCAGGCTAGTCATGTCAAAGAAGGAGGAAGTGCAGGTCTAATTCCTAGCCAGTTCCTGGAAGAGAAAAGAAAGGCTTTTGTTAGGAGGGACTGGGACAACTCAGGTGAGATTTAGTGAATTTCAGGAGTAGATTTTGCTCTGACTCCATTTGTTTTGCTTTTCCTGCCTTCATAAATAATAGAAAAACTTCTGTGTGAGATTACACAGATTATTGTGAAATGCTGAATTTTATATTTTGGCTTTTGCTGAAGGACAAAGGGTGAAGTCTCTGTTTAGTGTTCAAAGAGACATGTATCAGTTTTGCTTCCTGGTGATGAAAAGCTGAATAAGGTGGGACAGGCAGTGTGCACTTTAAAAAAATTTTTTTGTATAGTATGCACTGAAAGTTAATAAGCTAAACATGAATTTTCAGCTGCTTTGTTTTCTAGAAAAATATTTTTTTCTCTGTGTTCTTTCTGTACCATTTGATGGGTTTGTAAATAGATATAATTTCTTGCCCTAGTATATATACAATTCTAGAATAGTCTTTATAAAAACTTTCTTATATTCATGCAAATAAGATTTGGAAATTAACAGAAATTGTGAGTTCATCTAAATTTTTTATTTTTAGGACCTTTCTGTGGAACAATAAGCAGCAAAAAAAAGAAAAAGATGATGTATCTCACTACAAGAAATGCAGGTATCTCTTAATATTACATTAAATTCAAAGTTCTTTAGGTGTCAAAACTTGCAGATTGTAGTGTATCCAAAGCTAAAGATTTACAGTAAAATATTTGATTTTAAGTTTGATAGATCAGATAGTTTTTATGGTTTAAAAGCAATAGTGACAAGTGCAGATGTGGCTGTGCTGACCACATCATTTGGTGGGTGGAAATCAGGGAAAAACTGGGTGTTAAGGAAAAAAATGTTTGTTGCCAGTGGGCTGAGGGGATATGATTTTTCACTTCTGTTCAGTATTGGTGAGGCCACACCTAAGAGTACTGGGCATCTCCCCAGTGCAGGAGAGATGTGGACATAGAAAGGTGTTGAAGGGACTGGAGCATCTCACCCATGAAAAAAAGTTGAGACTGCTGGGAATGTTCAATCTGGAGAAGAGACTCAGGGCAGGTCTCACCAATGTGTATAAATACCTGAAAGGAGGGTGGAAAGAGGATGGAGCTGGGTGGGCTTTTTGTAGAGTAGCCCAGTGATAGGGCAAGAGCCAACAAGCAACACAGGCTCTGAACATCAGAAAACACCTTTTCCACTCTGAGGGTGACTGAGCACTGGCACAGGTTGTCCACAGAGGCTGGGGAGTTGTCCTCCTTGGAGATACTCAACAAGTGTCTGAATGTGGTCCTGGCCATTGGGGTGCACCAGATGCCTTTCAGAGGTACCTTCCAACCTCAACCATCCCTTGATTCTAAGTTCACTAATTGTTAGTCACAGTTTTCCCTTTCTGATCAAACACAGACTTTCTCCTTGGAAGTAAGAGAGAGAACCTGACCTTCTGCTGTCCATGAGGAATAATTATTTTATTTATTTATTTAAACCAATTTAAAGCTAGAAGTCTTGTATCTGCCCTCTTACTGACCTCTGAGTTCTGTTTATATTCACATAGGGTCTGTTGATAAATAGCGGGACTACTTAATTTTTTTTCTTCAGCCGTGAGTGTGTATTAAAGTTTTTTGTAAATTTCTCAATGTAGAATTTGATCGACATGAAATCCAGATATATGAGGAAGTAGCCAAAATGCCTCCTTTTCAGAGGAAAACCCTGGTCTTGATTGGAGCCCAAGGAGTGGGGCGAAGGAGTTTGAAGAACAGGTTTATTGTGCTGAATCCTACTAGATTTGGAACTACAGTGCCATGTAAGTTATCAGCATTCCTATTGTAATATCATACTTGGATTAACTGGAAAGTGTGTGATGTTTATCCTAGTGATTCAATGTAGGAGTGATTTTGTCAGAGCATAAAAATTGTATAGAGTGAGAAAACAAAAGGCTCTTCCTGTTTTCAGAAAACTGACCTAACATATGACCATGAAAGCATTTGTAACTAGCACTTAAATGTTACTGATGCTGCAGAAAACCAGTTTTTGTCTGTGCAGTATTTCAGTCTGGATTTCCTCAGTGTCAGTAACCATCCATTACTGAGGTGATTCCATAACTTCTCAGTAGCCTTCTGTAATGAACTGCCAGTGGAGTTTCTCACATCTGCCTTTTGGTTTTCCACTTGTGGACTGGGCATTATAAATTGTTGCTTTAGTTTAGAAATGTGGAGAAAAGCAGCAAACTTCCAATAAAACTGAAGTAAGTGTTTGTGATCTCCAAGATTTGTATAACTGTCCAATATTTTAATATATCTAGTCTTAAGCACATGATCTTTCATTTTTTCCCCCTATAAATAGCAGGAAAAAAAATCTTCTTTTAGCTGAAGCATGTTTTCCTGCCTTTCTTTCAGATACTTTGCTCATTAACCTGCTCATTAACCTTTTTTTTTTTAACTCCTCCTTACTGGTTGGCTGCTGACCAGAGAAGCCCACTCTAGCTACATTGTTATTCTCCTGCCATGTGCTTTTCATAATTTCAAAAACAGTCTGTTCCCTTCTGTTTCCAGTGGGCAAGAAATAGATCTGATAATAATAGGAGGAGGGACAGGTCTGAAAGATTAATTGTGCAAGATGACAGAACCAGTCTCTCTCATTTGTTGAATCTCTACCATCAAGATTCGCCAGGGCACTTAGAGTTGGTTTGTGGACCTGATAACAAGGTTGACTTCTCAGTATTACTTTTTAAAAGAAATCTTTTTTTGGAAATTCCATTATTTTACAGTAAGAGGCTTTTTATTGCTTGTAAAATTCTTACTGTATTTCAAAAAAGCCACCAGAATTACTTACGTCTCTAAAATGCTGTATAGATGTTCGAATATATGTGAGTAATGCAACATAGTTGTTGAACATTCTTCAGAGGCATAAAAGTAAATTTTTCCCAATCTGATAGTCTAATCATGCACATGGAATACCCAGTTTATTGTATATAGAACCTTTTCTCTACTTCAGATTTTAAGTGGGATAATCGGTATACGTAGTTAGTCTTTGATTAGAAGAAAATTCTCTAGGTTATTCATAAACAGATTTGCGTATAATGTGTTTTGGGAGGTGGGAAATGGGTGGAATGGATCCACTGTGCTATGGGGAGAAGCATGTTCTTGGTGTTGCATGTTCTAATCCAGCACGTGGTGCTGCGGTTTTTCTTCAGTGTGGAAAACTGAACTGTTAAATCATCCCCTAGCTGTAAAATGTTAAAGCTTACTCTCCAAAATTAATTGCAAACTGATATATGTTTCTTTTTAATGTATTGTATTAACCACTATACTTTTAATCTTTCCATAGAATCTTGAGTAAAACTAGATGTTCTAGTAATATATTTATTCTTAACAGCTTCAGATGGTCATTTTTCCTGGCACTTGTGTTTTCTATAAGATTGAAGTGGATAGGAATTACTGGAAGGGAAAGATTGCTTTCCACTTATCTCAACAAGTTGCACCAAGTGATGATAGAAGTATTACCAAAGGAATGCATTGACTGTTAGGTTAATATGTTCTAGAGTTCAAATCTAATTAAATATAAGTAGAAGGTAGTTAATAGGGCAATAGGGTAACAAAGTTGATAATAATATGATGTTATATTCCCATTTACTTTTTTTAAATTTTATTTTTACTTTTTTTCCTTAAGTAATGTCTGTACTAGACAGTGTAGCCAGTACCCAAGACAGTTGGTAACGATTTACTCAATTTCTACAGGAAATTTACCTTGCTTTAAAAGGGAACTTGTCCTGGAAAGCAGCATTAGCTGGCCCCCACTAAGATTCTGCTACAGTGGCTGGGCTGCTTCTGATATTTAAGCTAACTTTCTTTATAGCTAGCTCAGGTAATTCTACCCTGAACAACAGGGCAAATACAGACAGCAAAGGTTTTGGGGTGGGATGGGGCAGATCTTGTTGTGCTCAGCTATTTTCAGAAGTACATTTGGCATTTGATTTCCAAGTCACTCAAATATTTTATTAAGTGAATAATTAAAAAGATTACATTAATGAGTATTGTATATGGTGTGAAGGAGTAAGACAAAGGAAACAGGCAAATGGGTGGGTAAGCAACATATAGGAAGTAATATAAAGGGAACAGGAGGGGGGGCTGTGCTCAGTTTTAAAATTTATCTAGAATGATGAATAAACCTGTACATGAAGCAAATACAACTGTATAACACTGTGTATTATCATCTTCCTAACTTAATAGGAAGGCCAGTCTCATATTTATATTCCAAAAATAAAATGAAAACATTCAATTTATATTTTTAATTTTTTGTTTAGTTACTTCACGAAAGCCAAGGGATGATGAAAAAGATGGGCAAGCATACAGATTTGTGTCACGTGCTGAAATGGAGACAGATATTAAAGCTGGCAGATATTTAGAGCATGGGGAATATGAAGGAAATCTTTATGGCACCAAAATTGATTCCATCCTTGAAGTTGTTCAGACAGGAAGGACCTGCATCTTGGACGTAAATCCACAGGTATACGATTTATAATGTTATTATAACAAATGTGAGATTATAATGTTGAAGGGGTGAAGCGAGGTGCCTGCAAATTTGAAGGCTTTTTATCTGGTCTGAAGGTTACAATTATCAACTGGATTCTTGTGTTTGTGGCACTTACTTGGAATGGGTTAGAATGATGCAAAAAACCCAACTTAAGTTGTGCATGAAAGAAGAGTCTTGCAGAGTAATAAATAATCTTTTTAGCCAAGGAAAGAATGATGCTGAGCATTTCAAAAGGCAGTGTAGGAATTTCCAAAATAGAAATAAGAATCTTCACTTATCTATTGCTGCCCATCAGAACAGACGAGTTTTGTGGTGTCCCTTAAGTTACAGAGAGATGTGGTGAGTAATTTTCAAACTTTGGTGTTGTTTTTTTTTTTCTTTTTCTTTGCTTCTAGGCTCTCAAAATTCTGAGGACCTCAGAATTCATGCCCTATGTGGTGTTTATTG